CACAGGGATTTAAATTTCAATTCTTTTTTACCTTAATTAGTGCATAATCTGTAGAATGTTTTAAAAATCATATCAGCCTTAAGTTCGAATCTCTTTTCTTACTGCAACTAGCTAGCTTCAAAACTAGTACTGTTTATAGTTTTAATAACAAGTTTTCTTGTTTAGGTAAGAAACTTATGACCGTGAGGATTGTCAAGCACAGCTTTGAGATCATCCATCTCATTGAAGCCTATAAGATTGTGCCCATTGGTTTGACATTGATTGTTTGCGTGCTTATGTCTGGTTCACAATGAAGTCTTTTAGATCCTAACTGTGCTTTGATATTGATAGTTTGGGAGTTGTACCTGGATTGATACGGTTCTGAAAGCAGTTTATAGAGTAGGGCGTTTACCATACAAACTGCTAAGATGTCTCATTTGACAAAAACGGTCTTTTTGTTATAATAGTTTTTTTTTGTTGGATTTAACTAGAATAATTGAATTGGACAACCTAAATACATTCTTAAGTCCATATTTTTAGCATAAATAATGCAGAATGGTTTGATTATTTAAATTGGCCAAGAAAGGTAACAAAATTTGAGGCTTTTTCAATAATGTAATTTTAGGTAGTGTTTAATTTTTTGTCGTTTTTCCCAAAAAAAATAAACTGACACTGTATAGGCCAACTTCTGAACACATGGGGGTTTACAAAAATAACCTATCACACGTAGAGACAGTTGAAAATTGCAATATTGATTATTGTTATAGCTTTGAAACTTGGAAATGTAGCCTTTTCTTTTTAAACTTTGAAATTTGTGAATAATTCCAGATCTTTCAAATTAATAAAAACAAGATTTTTAGAAATGGCTTAAAATTGACCTTTAAAGTTATCGTAAATTAAAAAATGCTTTTTCCCAATATATTTACCCTGTAATAAAATCTAATTTAAATAAAAATCAGAGACAATTGGTAAATAGGCAGGAATGACCATTTATATCAAATGAAATTATATCAAAGAGGTTTAATTGAATACTGATTATTGAGCAAGATTAATTGGATAAATATCACATACAAAGCGGGGGGGGGGCATCCCCTCTCCTTAATGGTGTATCTTTCCACCCACGCAAATCCGCTATACTCCACTTCTTACCTACGCCAAATCCGTTATATTACACATCCGACCTATACTAGCACACGGTTTTAGTTTTTATAGCTGCTAGAATTTTTAGCTTTTTTATCTATTTGGTCGTGCACGCTTAAAATTCTAATGACTTCGATGGTGTATATTCCACCTACGCAAATCCGCAAATCCGCAAATCCGCTATACTCCAATTCTGACCTACGCCAAATCCGCTATACTACACAGATCCGACCTATACTAGCACGTGGTTTCACAGCTGCTAGATCCGGACTTATGGCCGCAGCGCGCGGCCCCCTAGCCTGTCCTTGCCACGGTTGCTCGGCCCCCAACCTGTCCTAGCCGCAGTACTCGGTCCAGAAATTATCTAAACCTAACAGCAAACCTATCCCTCAAAAAATACAAAAATAAACGGAAGGCGTAGGTCGGAAAGTTATAGTAGGTCAGAAGTTCAGTATGGGAGATGTGCGTACAGACGATGTAACATTTATTAGCCTAATTAATTCATAATTTCATGGTCTAAATTTTGGTGGATTCCAATCAAAAGCAAAATATTTGAAACTCAATCCATGCGAGAAAACAATATGACCTTGCTAATTGGGCCCTTTAATAAAAGGAGTTCATATGTTAAAGTATTTATACCCGCCCAATTTTAAATGAATGCATTATTCTCTTTATCTTTATCATCTCTTAGATACATTTAATGATCTTTGTGTGTAAACGAGAAAATAATAAAATAATTTTCTGAATTAAATGTCGTCTTTCAAATGTTCCAGTCTCTACGCGGAGAATAGTTTCCGGCTGAAATATTGGGAATTATTTGCGGCATTTCGTCTGGCTGGTGCACGTGTTTGGGTAAACTTTTATTAGTCCGACTCCGATATTTAGCGTGAAGATGTTTATAATTCATTTTCCAACGAGTTTACAAATGTGTTGTGATTTTATTTGTGCTGCATCATTTCTCCAAGTGTCAAACATTTGTACTTTTGTTAATTTGTGATGATTTTCAGTGTAAAAATGGCGGAAACTGATTGGAATGACGAGATCGAGAGCGCCCAGGAGGATGCTCCTCAGCCTATTATCGCTGAGCTCCCCGAGATCAAGCTCTTTGGCAAGTGGAGCTGCGATGACGTTAACGTCGCCGACATGTCCCTTCAGGTATTTTACTTATAAACTGTTGCAAACTTATTTGCTATTTAAATATAACTTATGGTTTTGCATGTGCACAAACACTCCCACACACTGTTTCTATCGTTTTATGCTTAAATTTCCACTGAGGCTGTTCTTTTCATTATCTTCATTGGTCGACAATTTGACTTCTCCTATATTTGTCGTTAGCGTACAGAGAAATTATCTATCAGAATTTAGCATGAGACGCCAACATATTGTCCCCCAAAGGACGTGAACTACATGACCATTTTTTGTAGAGAGAATGGGCTCTGTAACGTTGTAACGGCTGAAACACTATCTCCTGATCTCATTGTATATGTTTATGTATGTTCCCGAGCCATTGTAAATGAATTTATCTTCCTAGGACTACATTGCGTGCAAGGAGAAGTTTGCCAGATATCTGCCCCACTCCGCCGCCAGGTAATTATTTAGCCGGCGTTAATTGTCTTACTGTGAAAGGTGTGTCTTGTAATATTTTGTTTAAAATTATCCCAGATTAAAACTTTAACCGTTTATCCCAGATACTATTATCTTAATATGAGAATGCAAGTTATATTTCTAGATTAGGAACTTGATAGGCACTTCCTATCGTCTCTATAGACCCTTTTTACGTGCCACTGTTTTTAATTTTTTAAACTGTTGTTCGAACAGTTAAAGCAACCTGTTAAATTTCAAGTATCAATTTGTAAATCTCTGAATTAATTAAAAAAAATTGCGACCATGATTTTATTAATAACTTAAGTTTAATTTTACTTATTGTTCAGGTTCGCCGCTAAGAGGTTCAGGAAGGCACAGTGCCCCATTGTTGAGAGGCTGGTCAACTCCCTGATGATGCACGGGAGGAACAACGGTAAGGACGATCCCTGCGTGATTATCCATCCCCAGTGTCCTGCTTTAGTTTATGATGAAATCATGAAGTGGGCTATATTTATTTGGTGATTTTAATCAATAAGTAACCATAATTAAGTGAAATTTTAAGGGGAGAGTTTTAAAGTTTTGTTTATTTTTGTTTGCTAGTTCAAGCACAGGGATTTAAATTTCAATTCTTTTTTACCTTAATTAGTGCATAATCTGTAGAATGTTTTAAAAATCATATCAGCCTTAAGTTCGAATCTAAACTGGATTTTGCGATAAAAAATTCAATTTTTGCAAATTTCCAATTTTTTTGCAAATTCTAAAAGTAGAGCACAAGAGCTTTCCAATGATGTATCATTTGTCATATTTGAACATCAAACATGGGATTTAGAGGGAGGCCCAGCATATCCTGGTTTTCAAGTACCCCAGCAGGGATAGGGTTAATCGCCAAACATAAGTGGGAAAATATCGGAATAGTTTCACGTTTTTACCTAAACCATACAAAAAAACTTTTTTCTATTAATGAATTCCTCCTTTTTTCATTGAATGACTCACTAAATTAATATATGATCCTTTTTCTCATTTAAGGTTTATACATGAGTGCTATATTCGCTCAAATGGTAGAAACCGCCTTTAAACGTGTGACTTTTGTTCAAATTTTACATAAACCTTGAATTTCGGGTGTATTTTTGACGAATGTTTAACTTCTTTTTTTTTACAAATATATTACTGCTGCTTACGTTGAATGGTTATTTAATTTTTTTTTAATATTTTAGGCTATCTGGCTTCTATGCACTGGAGCCAGGGAGGCAGCTTTCCGTAACATCAAGTCTGTCGCAGAGTGCTTGTCCGACGAGCTGATCAATGCCGCCAAGGGATCCAGCAACTCCTACGCCATCAAGAAGAAGGATGAACTCGAGCGTGTCGCCAAGTCTAACCGTTAATATCGTTCCCGCCACCCTCCGCCTCTATTTCTGTATCGTTTGCGGATTTTGCAAATAAATACTTTTGCGGATTTTCTGTTATTTTTCCCACAAATTTTTCAGATTTTAGTTGATAATGATTTAGGAATAGTATGTTCTAAAGCATGGAAAGAGAACGGGTCTGATAATTTCACAACGTGAATAGACTGGACCTAAACCAGCTTAAGGGATTTCAGATCAATGAAATAATTCCGTACTCTGTTTTTAGATCGATCTTTTATATTTAAAAAAAGTGAGCAAGCGTAACTAAGTGATCATTTATGCAAAGATGGCAATTCCCGAATAACCAAGGCACCCTTGAAACCCTTATCTGATCAAAAATGGTGGAAGAGCTGATTTCTAACCAGAGTGCAAGCAAGAAATGTGCGAGTCACTCGCAAAGTAACTCTTAGTGATATTTAACTGTTTAAAAAAATGACAAAAACATTGATATCTTATTCACATTTATTCGGACAATGCTTAAGACTTCTGTTTTAAATTGAGTATTGTCATCTTTACATCTTTACAATTCACACTACCAAAAACGGACTATCATGTTTCAAGTCAAAGCACTACACTTTATCTTTGGACTATATTTATATGCAGTCTACCGAGTTTTAATCTCAATATTCTGAAAATGCCCCCTAGGTAATTTAGAGCAAATCAATTTCGTTTTAAAACTTGAATCTGCTTTTTATAGTTTCTTGACGATACTTTTTAACAGTGTATTGCATGGTCTCTCAATTTTTCTTAAACAGTCATGAAACATGTAGTAAAAAATCAAACCCCTAAGTCAACTGCCTGACTGTCAAAACACGGCCCGAAAAAGATTTTTGACGTAGTTTTATTGATGTTACTAAAAAGGCTTTTAGGCATTAAGAAGGAAATTTCTTAAATGTATTCCCTGCGCCACCCCACTCAGAGATCCTATATCTAGGTTCTCATCGTCGCTGTTCTTCTATCCTCCTTTCTCTTCACCTCCAGGATGGCACCGCTAGTCTTTATACTATTGTGATCTTTGTCTTGTCCATATTCTTTCATCTCTTTTATGTCTTATCTCTAGCGGTGTTCTTGTTCCAGATATATGCCAAGAAGAAGATCCTAAGGCCTTCCTGTGTTACTATCGTAGTATCTTCTGGATCCTGGTTCCCCTGGATCCTAGTACTCTCTCTCTCTTTCTCCCGTGGCTCGTCCTGCGCGTCCTCGAGCTCCTCCTGCTATCTGATCAAAATTCTGATTTCAAACCAGAGTGCAAGCAAGAAATGTGCCAGTCACTCGCAAAGAAACTAAATGATATTTAACAGTTTAAATGACAAAAACATTGATATCTTATTCACATTTAATCAGACAATGCCTATAAGACTTCTGTTTTAAATCGAGCATTGTCATCTTTGCATATAGGGTCACTTACAATTCACACTGCCAAATATGGACCATCAGGTTTCAAGTCGAAAACGCCTAAACTTTATCTTAATACTATTTTTATACGCTGTCTACCAAATTTCAATCTCAATTTTAATTTATTGTAGAAATCACGTGCATTTACAGGTTAAAAATTAAACAGCAAATTTCGTTTCAAGACTTTAATCTGCTTCTTGGGTTCTTTGACGATATTTAACAGTAATTGGCATGGTCTCCAAATTTTAAGAACAGTCCTGAAACATGTTGTAGCAAAAAAATAGTTTTAAGTGAGAAGAAAAATGGTTTAAATAAGCAAAAGAAATATTTTGAAATGAATCAAAAATAAAGTTCAAATTAGTAACTATTTTTAGCTTATTTGAACTAAATATTTTTGCGGCCACATGACAAATAATATCAATTTAGGGCCAACTATTTATTGGCTCATTTGAACTCTGTTTTTGCGCATTTGAAATTTTTTTTTGCTCATTTAAACTGTGTTTTGTGTTCATGTGAGCTATTATTTGGCTTATTGGAACTATATTCTTTGCTCATTTGAACTGTTTCTTTTTGCTCATTTGAACGAATTTTTGCTCATTAAATATTTTTTTGTTCATTTGAACTATTTTTGGGCTCATTTGAACTATTTTTTGATAGTTCACATGAGCAAAAAAAATAGTTCAAATGCGTACAGAATGTTATCGTTTGAACTAAATAGCACCGAAAGTAAAAAGTAATATTGTTATACTGACCTGCTAAGGCTAAAATAAATGACTGTTCTGAAAACTCAAAGTTCCTAAAAAGCTATAGATTATTTACCGGTTACCCTCATAGCAGAACCTTCAACAAAATTTCAAATGTGTTCCTTTTGGATTCACACCGGCACCCTTCAACGGATTAACAATGCATATTGGGGAAAATATTGTGACTTGTCGTTTGAGATAGTTGTTAATTTTGTCAATTTCCTTACTTCGTAAATCCGCTAAATACTGAAAGAGAACCGATTAGAATAAAAAATTGGGATTATTGGTAATGAGATAAACTTAAATTCAGATCCGGGCTTTAAACCCAGTTCACAATCGGAAATTAAACCTCTAGGCTGGTTAATGGAGCCTAAAGCTTTCCCTAAAATTCATGATTTTCACCAGCATTTTTGTGCTTACATAAGCTTTAAGGATGCGGCTGTGAATCAGACATGCCACTCAGAAAATAAAGGGTTCTTAGAATTAGGTCTTTGCATACCTTCAATTTATTTCAAATTTTCCTCTACCTGAAACTTAGAGAAGTGTTCAATCAAATTTAAACATTTCAAGTTACTTTAGGAACAAATATTTGGTAAAGAAGTTTTATAACAATATTACGAGAATAATATCTTAATCTTGAAAACCTCTTACTTAGACGAAAATACAAAAATACTGGAGAATCACCAGGAGAAGGCTCGTAGCCATTATTAACCATTGACATGCTGAGAAGGCGTTGGAATCAAAGATGTATGTCCATTGTCCAGTTCATGTTCTTAGCTATCCTAGCAAAGCTATCTCATGACAATTTAGACCTCTCAACTTAGTGTGCTAGGGAGGGGTAAAAAAAGGCAAAATTTGAAACAAAAATTGAGTAGTAATGAGACACAGTTTGATGTTTATACTTCCATTTTTAAGGTGTTTTCAAATTTGTAAATTATAGTTGTTTAGCTCAAACAGAGCACAATGTAATCGGATGATTTGAAGCATCTACCGGCCTTCCGTCGGTCATGAAACCCACACTAACAAACAAATTTACAAACAATTCTTAAAATTCAAGACGTAAAAATTGTGAGAGCTAGAGCAGAACTACAGGGTGTCCCATAAAAATGGGAATTAAGTAACTCTTGTTCACCCAGGCTACCCATGAGTGTCCACAAAAAAATTCAGCCGTTTGGCCGGCGAGAGGGAACATATATATGAATGTCTTATTTTATTATATAGAATAAACAGTGACAAAATATTGAAAATTATAAAATTTGTAAACTGTAATAAGTAAAACAACTAGTTTCGGTTAAACTACTTCTTTAGGTGTGACAGAAAGTGCAGTCGTACCAAGTTCAACAACTTCTCGACAATTCATTTAAATTTAATCTGAACCCATTTATCCCCCCCCCCAAACTCCTAGGGATAGGTGAAATATCTTTAATTTTGTGGTATCAAGACTCTTTTTTTTGTGTTTTCCAGTTTCAAGAGGGGGGGGGCTGCACACGGTCTTGCAGACTAGCAGATTATTTTACAAGCAGGGAGATGAATTAGTTTTGTTTCACAGGATTAAGGAGAAATTACTACACAAGTATGTACAATGTTTATTATTGATCATTAATAGGCAGACTTTAAAAATATTTTTCAACCTGAAAATAATTTACTTAAATTTCTTTACATCATTGAAATGGACTGTGATTGTAATTTTAAGTGACCTCCCTTTTAAGTGCCCGATTCACAACAGTACCTTTATCTGATAAATAATGTGGAAGATATCTTCGTTTTCAAACTTAATAAGTGTTTCAATTTCTGTCAACTTGATGCACTTTCATTGTTTCTGCAGTAGAAATCCGCAAGTCAATGCATATCTCATACATTCCTAATCATACAACGTTTTCCAGGGTTCCGTTGTTAATCGGACAACACACTCTTCCATAAAAGGTCGCCTAAAATTGAGTTCACAGTCTAGCCAGGTTTGCAACATTGGAGAGGGGGAATGGGAGGGGGAGGGAGGGTTGATTAATTTTCTAGATATTAACCAATGTATTTTTATTTGAAGGCTTGAACAGGGAAGGTTTTATCCTGTTAAAGAATATTCTAGACCAGCTGCAGGGATGCGGAGCCCAGCTCCTTCAGATATTAGGTATTCATTTATTTATTGGTTTATTTGTTCATTGGTTAATTGGTTAATTGATTCATTGATTCATTGGTTTAGCGGTATATTCATTGTTTCATTGGTTCATTGGTGTTGGTTCATTGGTTCATTGATTAATTGGTTTGTTGGTTTTCTTGGTTTATTGATTCATTCATCCTTCCTTTCATCCTTTCATTCATCCTTCCTTTCATCCTTTCATTCATTCATTCATTTATTCATTCATTCATTAGATCATTGACTAATGATAATTTTGTACAGAACAGTAGGTTGCCTGGTGAAAACTGTAAACTACCTGTGCAGTACAGTGTACACTAACAGTACTGCAGCATCACGCAATATAATCTTCGATTTCATGTTTGACAGATTAAGAGCAGTTAGGCATGTTGTAAATCAATCAATTAATCAATTTATGAGTGAAAGCTTTTTTGTTTCTTCTTTACTTGACAACTGATTTGCTTATTGCTTAATCTCGATGTAAGAATTTAACAGATTGGTCAATTTGCTTTAATAAACCGATTTCATAAGCTGTTGGTTTGGTTGATTGTTAGATTGGATTTTTAAAGTATTAAATAATGGATTGATTGATTGAAGGATTATTGAATAATTGATTGGTAGAATAGTTGGTGGTTGGTTGCAGTTGGTTAGTTTGTTGATTGATTTATTGATAAAGTGATTGATTGATTGATTGACATAGACAGGATTTAATCCTTCAGAATGTAGAGGATAAGTCTGCCTGCCAGATACTTGCACAGATTGTCAGGTTGGGATATTAATTNTCTACATTATTATAGGAAAATATTTGTAAGTTCAATTCAATTCAAGACATATGATACTGATTTTATTTTTTAGATATTGTTTTAAAATGTCATTAAAAGCTCTGATTAATTGTCTTTGCTTCACAGAATAAAAATCTCTAATCCTTTGAATTTAGGTAAAAAAAAAATTGTTTTTATTTTTGTAAATTATTTAGATTTCATGTGGTGAGCAGCTTGTTACAAAAGGAGTACACAATAGACAAGGTATTTTGAAAACTAAACAAGAGAATAAAAGTTTAAAAAAGAAAATCATCACATGATGGGACAAAATTAATAATTTCTAGTATTTTTTTTTCATAAATCATTGATTTCTACAATATATCTATTTTTAATTTTCACTGATTTGAATATATGTATATTACGACATGGTATTAACCAGAAAACGGTGGATTTTTTTATTGAGATAGATAGATTGATTGATTGATTGATCGTCTTTCTTTTAATGTAGAAATCTTGATTATTTGCTAAGGATTTTCAAATTATTGTAATTAATATGTCTAAATGTGTTCAGAACTTTTGTGTTGTGATTTTGTGAATCTTTGGATCAAGCATTGATCTTCATCTTATGCAGACCTAGAGATTAGTTTATTTCCTCTTTGATATCCTTATATAGGGATATCTTTAAGGGATCAAGCAGTTATCCACCTTAAAAGTACCCACATTGGATATCGAGATTAAGTGTTCAAGATTAACGATACTCCACACACAATTTCCAACTGCTGGGCATATTTTAAAAATATATCAATTTACAAAATCCTTATTTGCATTTTGTAATAAAAATAATGACGGCAATAATAATTCCACGTTTTCTAACTACCTTACTTAAATATTTTTTAAAAATTGAAATAAGTTAAAATATTTTTTTAACAAATATGCCTTAATTTGGGTTGTATAATATAAATCTATTTAATACATTTATGAAACGACGCTAAAGTTTAAAATGCGTAATATATTTAGTTTGATCCTGTGCGTAATAGTTCTCATCTTCTGGAATGCGTAAAATCTGTTCTAATACTGCAGGTAAACAATTTCTGGCGCTTCGTGTCAAAAAATATAAATACTAAAATATTTTTTTATAATTTTTCATATTAAAATCAAAACAATCTTTTGCTTTGTGTCTTTTTTTAAAGACCATTATCAACGCAATTGGAGGTAAAAAAAATCCTTTCTTGAGCTGGTATTTGCATTTTATAAATGTTTTTTTTTCAGTTCAAATTAGTTGATTTGATCTAAATAAATTAAACTGTTTTTTTTGTGTTAACTCGATTTTATTGTTCTATTTTCTATTTCTGCATCAGCTGTTATAAAGTATTTTTCTCAATAATGTTTTAGATTTAATTAACAATTCATTTAAATATTTTCTAGAATTTGAACGATGTCGTTGACGAAGAAAGAGAGGAAATGAATTCCATTTATATCCTTAGGTTAGTTAAAATTATCTGTTTTCTCTGTTTTGTAATAAACACAAAAGTTATATTTTTAATTAATTGATAACAAGAAAATGTTAGGTATTTCGAGATTGATATGATATTTCAAATATTTTAAGTAATCTGAGTTCCAGTGCACCATTGATGTGGGCGACAAATCTACCAGACAATTTGAGAAAATCCGAAAATATCTCCAAATCATTCCAGTTGGCACTTCTGTACAGACAGAACAACTTTGTCAGATACTTCCGGTTGTTGCAATCCCTCCCTCCCCTCCTGCAGATTGCCGCGTTGAAGTTTACAGAAAAAATGGCGGTCCACGCTTTAAAAGTGTACAGTGTCGCGTATCATAGTGTACAGTGTAAATACCCTCTGGCGGATTTGTCAAAAACTTTTTTCCTTAAACAATGTGTGATGGCAGACCTGTGTACAAAGCTGGGTTTACAGTTGGAAGGGGACAATGTTAAATTCCAAAAATCGAAAATTCCAACTATTGAAGATGAATCTACGCTCAACATTTTTGACTTCAATAATGCTTCAAAGAGTTTACATGTAATCAGATAAATTTGTATTATTCTACAGTGGTAGGCAATTATATCAATAAAATGAAGACGACTTTCGATTCCAATTTTTATTTTTATCAAGCTTTTATAAAATATGGAAACACATAAAAACGGAAACAAAGAGAAGCTATAGATAAAAAATCTTCTTTTTAATTTCTTTTAAACTTGTAATTCGATAAAAGCTTGTAAACAATAAAAAATAAAAAGTCGTCTTCATTGTATTGATATAATAGTGAACCACTGTATAAAAATCTAAAAAATTATAGCATTTGACAAATAAAATATATTTTCTGTATCCTCATTCTCATGTGTTTTATTATATTGTTAATCAATACTCAATTAACAGTTTTTTAAATATCTTCGGTCTATGTTGTCAAAAACATTGAGATATTTAAGGAAATATGAAAAGATATCTAAAATATTCATAAAACAATTTTTAAAAAGTCTTCTGTTATATGTTGCGGTAAAATTGATAATTTTTAGGAAATATGAACAGATATCTTAAATATTCGTCAAACAATTTTTAAAAAGTCTTCTCGTCTGTGTTGTCAAAAATATTGAGATATTTAAGGAAATATGAACAGATATCTAAAATATTCGTCAATTTTTCGTCATGTTGTTATATATAGATATTTTTAAGCAAATATGAACAGATATCTAAAATATTCGTCAAACAATTTTTAAAAAGTCTTCTCGTCTATGTTGCAATAAGATTTATATTTTGATTTATGATTGTGATATTCAATGAAATATGAACAGATATTTAGAATATTCGTTAAACAATTTTTAAATATCTTTGGTCTATGTTGTCAATACGACTGGATTTTTAAGGAAATAAAATANAAATATGAAAAGATATCTAAAATATTCGTCAATTTTTCGTCTATGTTGTCATAAATATTGAGATTTTTAAGGAAATCTGAAAAGATATCTAAAAAATTCAGAGAACGATTTTTAAAGTTTGAAAGTGCCCAGCCCTAGTCTACTGTTGCAGGGAACCAACAATCTAAGAAAAAGGACAACACAAATTCCGTACAGTCGTCCCTGAAGTCTCATCCTTTGTGGGTACTGGGGAACCCATTAGAAATTGTCAACTTGGACTAATGATCAAACAAACTACACTCTCATTTTCTAATCCCTATATCTTTGTAACCAAATGTAGTAGACTTTAGATATTTCAAACTATGAATTCTGTTCGATCACGTAATCTAGAAGTAAAATATGAAAGGTTTACGCCATTAGGTTGTAAATATAAAGGAATTTGAATTTGTGGCAAAAACTCTATTCCTCTCTAGAAAAAAATGTGTGGATTTAAACCTATCTTTGAATATAAAATATTGTTAAATTTCCAACTAAAAATATGGATTCATTGAATAGAAAATCGTGAACCACTGTATTAAAATCTAAAAAATTATAGCATTTGACAAATAAAATATATTTTCTGTATCCTCATTCTCATGTGTTTTATTATATTGTTAATCAATACTCAATTAACAGTTTTTTAAATATCTTCGGTCTATGTTGTCAAAAATATTGATATATTTAAGGAAATATGAAAAGATATCTAAAATATTCGTCAAACAATTTTTGAAAAGTCTTCTCGTCTATGTTGAAATAAGATTAATATTTTTAAGCAAATATGAACAGATATCTAAAATATTCGTCAATTTTTCGTCTATGTTGTCATGAATATTGAGATTTTTAAGGAAATATGAAAAGATATATCTAATAATTCATCTAACGATTTGAAAGTTTGAAAGTGCTCAGCCCTAGTCTACTGCTGCAGGGAACCAACAATCTAAGAAAAAGGACGACACAAATTCCGTACAGTCGTCCCTGAAGTCTCATCCTTTGTGGGTACTGGGTAAACCTTTAGAATGATATTAAAGACTTTTTGCAATTCCTTTCGTTAACAAAATGTATATATTTTACAGTGAAATCAATTTTACTATAATATAACTGTTATATAAAAAATGTTATTAGTCTCTTTAGTATCAAACAACTTAAAAATTATGGAAGAAGACATTTTAAACTATTCACCAACTGTCATGTTTCGTGGGACACCCTGTACTTGGATCAGGTCGTCATTTAAATTTATACTTTAAACAGTAGCTGGGGATTCGGGGGATGATGCTATAGTGTCTTTGAGGTTTTTCAATATTTAATTTCCTTTCCCCAGTCTTATATGAATATTGAATATCTCAGCTCTGAAGGTTTCAAATTCCAGAAACTTTTTTCTGCAGACACATTTTGTATCGGAAACATTAGTGGAGACACATTCTTTTGCAATAAAAGTTGTGAAACGATACATTTGCTGCGGAAACATTTTGTGTCTGAACATCAGAATCTTGGAAATACTTTTAAAAAACTATTTTTCCAAAAACACATTTTTTTACTCCTTATGTTGATTTTGGATAAAATGGTTTAGAGTGAAAATAATTTAGCAGAAGCAATTATTTTCAACAAATATGTGTAAATAAAATTTTCTGCGGAATTATTTTGCCAAAAATATTTTCTTATTACAAGCGTTTCAATTAATTTGTTTCAATATACAAGAGTAAACTCTGGGATCCAACCTAAAAGTAAAGAGGAGAAATCCAGTTGTAAACATGGAGAAACCACGAAAGAAACCATGAATAACCATGAATAACCATGGGGAAACCAGGAGAAACAAAAAGAAACAAGGAGGAAAGCAGAAGAAAGCAGGAGGAAACCAGGAGAAAACAGGAGAAACTGCAGTTGTAAACAGGAGTAAAAGGAGTAAACATATAAGTATATACAAGAGAAACTAGGAGAAACCAGGAAAAATTCAGTTGTAAGCAGGAGAAATTAAGTTGTAAACAGGAGAAATCCAGTTGTAAACAGAAGTAAACAGGAGAAACCATTGGATACACCATTAAAGAAACCAAAGGAAACCAGGAGAAATTAGAAGAAACCAGGAGAACCCAGGAGGAGAACTATGAAAAACCAGGAGAAGCCATGAGGAAACCAGGAGAAAACAGGAGAGACTAGGAGAGACCAAGATCTGCACAATTGTTGTGTTTCATGCTCATTAGACTTTTTAGGGTTTTAATATGATTCTAAAAGTCGTCTTCCTATTTTAGAGTTTTCTAGTTACTTGAGTTTGGACAAAGATAATATATATAGATACGCTGGCAGGTAGAAATTTCCTTCCNCTCTAACAGACAACTAAACTCCAGTTTAATAAATTCAAAAGATATAAAAATGTTTTGTACTAGAAAATCTGTGTGTAAACAATTTTTAGTAAGCATATTTTGTATGAGAAACTTTTTCTAGCTGGAAGTAATTGTTGAGACCAATTATCGACTTTAAACACATACAAACATTAAAAAACTACTAGATTTTAATACTTCATTTCTCTTGAAAATTTCCAAATTATTCCGAAGATATATTTTTTGTTTTTATTTAACAGTTTACAAAAATAACATTCATATTTCTGAATTAACACCTTTTCACACTAAAAGTTTTGTTATTTTAAAAGATTAACTTTTTAAAATTTAAAAAACGTGTTGGGGGCGGGTTGGTGTATATTCATGATCTGAAGTGTCTTTGGTTAAATAGCGATATTTTTAAAAATATTAAAAAATATTTTTTTTTACAAAAAACATGTATCACAGTAAATTTTCACCACAATTATATATTTTTTACATTGTTGCAACCAAAATTCATAAAACTGAAATTGGCATAATTTTTAGAATTCTCTAGTTAATCTAGTCACGACTCACGGGTCCATTTATAGAGTTGTATGTCTAGTTCACAACTGTATCCTCTAAAACTATGTATTTTCAAGTGAATGAGATATCTTTATTTTCTTAGATGTATATTGATTATTTTCAATTGTGGTTTTTCTATAAAAGTGACTTGCGGATATATGCTGCAGAGACAACTTAGGCAATGAGAATTTGCGGATATATGCTGCAGAGACAATTTAGGCAATGAGAATTTGCGAATATATGCTGCAGAGACAACTTAGGCAATGAGAATTTGCGGATATATGCTGCAGAGACAACTTAGGCAATGAGAATTTGCGGATATATGCTGCAGAGGATAAGTTTATAAATTTTAGATATTCTTTAAACTATTATCCAATTATGTGTTCTTTATATTTTCTATATTTCTGTATGCATATTGCAAACATAGAAACTTTCAAGCAACATAATACAGAACACAGGGTGTTCCAATTAAAATTGAAATTTAGTTTTGTGTAAAAATGTTGAATTTATATTCTTCCAAAAAAATCACTTTCTAAATGTGGTTTTCATTTTAATTGTACCTTAAAATATAACAGACATATTTTTTATGTTTACACAATTTAACATCAATATTTAGCTTGAGATTACGTCTACAGTTTCTTCAATCTAATTTCTTAACTGGACACCTTGTATGTGCATTTTTGTAATTACCAAGGTTGTATAATAAGGTTGCTTAAACTCTCGATGCGCTCCAATATGTACAGAAAATGTTGTCTCCTAAGATAGATAGAAAAAAACCTAATATAACGTCAATCTCGCCTCTAAATTCAGTGACGTCGTATAAGGTTTTTTTCTATCTATCTTAGGAGACGACATTTTCCGTACATTGGAGCGCACCGAGAGTTTAAGCAACCTTATTATACAACCTTGGTAATTACAGAACCAACACCAATAATGATATCAATTAAGCAATGTATGCTTTATAGACATGGACAAACGTGGGCATACATTTAATATTTATATCCACATACATTTAACGTTACAATTTTTATTACTCCAACATTCTTCTAGTTTTTTTAGCATTAAAATTAGGGCTGGGCATGTTCAAACTTTTTTCTTTAAAAATTTGATAATTGTGTCCGTTTGTCAATAAACTTAAAAACATTTCTACTAGAAATTAAAAATTCTTTAATTATTTAATTAATGTTTTAAAGGGAAATTTTTAGAAGAAACTAAAAAAAAAGATCAAAACTAACGTTTTCTGAAATTCATCAAAAATAATTTTTGATCTCTTTCCGTGTTGAGGTAGGGGAGGAAGGCCAACCATATCAATCTCTAGTCCGAACCACATTCTCCTCATTTTCTCGTCCGAACCACCTCGGAATCCTCGTCCTTAGATTATTTTGTGTTAAAAAGTTTCCAATTCTTAAAGATAAAACTATTTTTTTTTAATCTGGCCACGTTAGGGCATAAAATATGGATGGACTAAAGTATTGCAATGATTATATCATGTTGGAATTCAAACCCATGAAAATGATTTATTTAGGTAGAACTTAAATCTCTTCTGCCTCCGTAATGGCTAACCTTCGTGATATGAAAAAAATAGCAAAATATTCGGCATACCTCTGCCTATAATTTTCCCCATGGAACCACCCGGGAAAATGCTATGGTTTTCACTAAAGTTAACAAAAAAGATTGAAGTTCTATAAACTTGTAATTATTTGCGGCATTCTACACCAGGAATATCTGAAAATGCGCGTAAAACAGGTGAACATTTTTAAGGACATTAAACTTGAAATCTTTAATTCAATTGAAACTTTTTTTCGATTTACAAAAATTTGATATTTCATTTATGCCCTAACGTGGCCCGATTCTTTAAAAATAGTTTTATCTGGAAGGATTAGACACTTAAAAAAATAATATTTAAAGGACGAGGATTTTGAGGTGGTTCGGACGAGAAAATGAGGATAATGTGGTTCGGACTAAAGATTGATGTGGTTGGCCTTCCTCCCCTCGTTGAGGCGTTTCCATGTCACCATCATTAAGGTGCCTTTAATTGCAATATTGTAATTGCAAGTAGGTTTTTTCTGGAAGCAATCTTTCATAATAAATTTATTATTGTAAAAAAATTATCTCATCCAGCTTAAAAAAATGGTTGCCTTCGTCAACTTTACAAAATAAATTTTTTGGCAAAGATTTTTTTTGTGACGAAAAATGAATTGCTGAAAAATCACAACTTGGCTTTATTTGCCTGGTGGCCAGTTATTAGTTGACACTTCTATTCTCATTACAGACGGTGGTTCAGAATCTGATTGTAAATAGATATGTTTGTCTATTGCTATATCAGGGGATGTACAAGCAGACAGAGAGTAGCCTGTATTGTACATGTGTGCGCTGTGTACACAAAGATTGTTCTCACCACAGAGCGAGGTTTCTTGATAGTTCAGCTCGTGATTGTTCCGCTCACGGGATAGGTCAGAGAGTACGCTTAATCTCAGGAGCTGGGATCTTGAACTCCCCAGCGTCCTCTGACCGGTTGTTTTAGAACGGTTCAGCAAATTCAGACTGATTGATGGATTCCTAGAGCCCATTGTACTTCGACTGCGGTTCAGGGAGGAGTTGATCATAGTAGGATTGGCTGCATCGGTGGCAAAACTGTTTGGATATCTGATCAAATCCTGGAAAAAGGATATCGTTTTTTATGCATGTAAATATACTTGTTAATTAAATTAATGTTCTTTAGTTTATCAAACACTAAAAACTAGGGTTCATTTCAAGTACGAAACAGCTTTTAGGCAGCTAGAGCAAGTTTTGTACAGTATACATACAGATTACAGACAGGGCTGGGCAAATTTCGAAAATAGATGGAAGAGTCTGTTATAACGAATGACAAAATCCGGATTAGCTGATTATGAAATGAAAATTAAGGGTTGAACTGTGTAGTTCGTTTATTTCTGTTTAAAATTGCATTGAAATTGTTAAACAATTTTTTTTGTGTGTATTGATGATATCACCAATCCGTAGGGTCAAACTACCTAGGGTCAAATGCCATTGGGTCAAACAACATAGGGTAAAACGACCTTGGATCAAATGACAAACGGTCAATAACGCGACAAAGGGTAAACTGACATAGGGTCAAAAAGTGCAACAAATGGGCAAAACTTCATTTAGTCTATTTTTTGTTAATTTCAAACTATTTTTATGTTCATTAGAACTAGTGGCCGCAGCATTCGGCCCCCTAGCCTGTCCTAGCTGCAGCACTTGTCCAAGAAATTGTCTTAACCTAACTTAACCCTGAAATAATACATATAATATTTTTTTCCATTTTGACCCTTTGTCGCGTTTTTGATCGTTTGTCATTTGACCTTATGTCATTTGAACCTATGTCGTTTGACCCTGGGTCACTATGTTGGTGAACCGTATTGATGTTTAATTTTTTTTTGATGCTTCACACCGATAACGCTGTTAATACTGCATGTAATAGATCATTATCGGCTGTGCCATTAACGTTTTAATTAACTGTTAACAATTTTTTTCGGCCATGCGCCGTTAACACCGTTCATTCTTTGGGATTGTTAACTAACGGTAACTTTTAAAATAAACAGAAAATACCGTTAATGAAAGAAAGTTTCGTTCTTACGATCAGAAACTAAAAACAGTTGGAACTAACCGTTAACGAAACAGCTCGAAAAGTTGGAACATGCCCAGCCCTAGTCGAGAGGTGCGTAGGAGGGGAAAAGCTATCCATTACTTCGTACAATGAACATGATCATACAATTTGAATCATCTTTACCTGAGGAGGTGTGCAATCATGTCTTCCCAGCATAGCACACATGGTCTTGAGGAAGATCCTCTTAAATTTCTCCCCGAATATACAATAGATTATGAAGTTGACCGAACTGTTGACGGTGACCAGGAGATTGGAAATCTGGGTCAGCGGGGAGAATTCCCTGCCGCTGTGCTAAACAAAAAGATTTAATAAAGAACAATAACAATGATTGTAATCTAGACATTTTTTACTATTTATTTTACAATTGCTACAGTAGTTTGTTAACAGGGTTTCCTTAAAAAGTTTGAGCCAATTTGGACCAGCCCTATGGACAGCTGCAACAAACAAATATATCTACGTATATAAAGTTGTAATCTCTGTTTGGGTGTCTGTTTGTTCGTCCGATCAAAACTCAGGAACCCCAGGACCCATTTGCTTCACATTTTGATTGGAGGAGTAACTTTTAGTAACAATGGCAGCACTGGACCTGGGTTACCAAGCAAGTAATCTAGTACATATACATGGGCAGCCGTAGTAAATTTGAATTTCCGAGCCGGGTCAACCTTTCCGGTCCCAGTTTGTACTGTATCGCCCGTACATAGGGACACTCAATAGGACTATCCGGTGCAACAAGGTTGATGCGGTCAGACTTTAGGTTGAATTTACTTTTACTAAAGGGTCAGGGGTGCGTGTATATAAATATATAAAATCTAAGATCTTTGTTATAAAGATAAGAAACCCCTTTAAATGCATAAGATAAGGAAAATAAACTTTTGACAAATGAACCGTCAAGAAAAAAGAAAACTCTGGATCTTAATCTTCATGAATGGACTGAAGGGATATCCTGGAAAAGAAAATAGGGATAGATTTAAACTCTAATAGGGCGAGGTATAAAATAGTGTTCCAGCGAACAAAAACTTTCGCGAAAAAATACGGAAAATTTATCGCTTGTAATTCGCGAAAGGAATTGAGTTTTTGACACCAACTCAAACCTTATGCAACCTTATGGAGTAAACCTTTCATATTTCAAACTCAGATTATTTGATCCAACAGAATTAATAGTTTGAAATATTGAAGGTTATAGGAAACCATGTCCAAACAATTTCTTCATTATTATCTTCTATCTATATACTTTGTTTGTTTGTTTGTTTGTTTGTTTGTGCCCAATAACTGTAAAAACGGCTGAACCAAGTCCAAAATTTTGAGGCAAACTCATGACCCCAGGGAAGTTTTATGGCGGCTAGGTCAAAGTTGAAAAATTTTGCATGAAAACAGAATGGTGTCTTTGTCGCAAACTCTAATTTTCTTATTCTTTATATTTGCAACTCATGGTAGACCTTAGATATTTCAAACTATGAATTCTGTTAGATCAAATTAATAAAATTTGAAATATCAAAGGTTTACATTATCAAGTTGAAAAATAGGGGTTAGAAAATTTGAGTTTGTGGCACAGACTCAATTTTCCTTTATCATTTTTGAAAATACGCTATTTTAAACAGAAAATTCACGAAAATGTTAGAACGATTACAATTGGCTTTAATTGTAGATAGGAAAAGCCTATCTAGTTAGATTTCAGAAATATCTAGATTTTCTAAATTCAATTTTATCCTGATTCATTGAATGTTTTATTTTATATTAGTTTTACATTTATGCAATTTAAATTTTTTTTCCATTATTTGAATGCATATGCAAGTAATAGAAAAAACCTTTCGTAAATTTAAAAAAAATTATTTAGTTAACAGAAGTTATCTAGCACTTCTCTTGAAGGGGAATAGATTCATGTTTTGGGTTTTAGTACCTAATAACTTTATTGAGAGTAATTTGGAGAGCATGGAGATTATCTGGAATCCATTAAATGTTGAATAAAAATACCATCAAGAGAATTCAGCAGATAACTTGAGGTTTAATTGACTTTACCAAGCTTCAAATTTCAAACTGGGTCAGATTTCCTGATTTATAAAAGATAAAATTTGTTTTTTCCATTAAAGCTCTTAAAGTTTACGACAACTTTGGGAGCATCAACATTTTGCGATATAATCTTTAGAAAGCTTTAGAAAAAGAGAGTTCGAAGGGACTGGTATCGAAGTTTACATTGAGCTTTTATTTAAAGATTGGTATGGCCCTTCATACCTTTATCTAACATTTTTAAAACTTTTACAGCAAGAAAAACAGAATTACTAAAACCGAAATTTTAAGAGTACCGTTATGAATCGTACACGTTGGTTTTAAATGATGTGCATCTTAAAATTACGTCACAGTCTCCTTATATCTGAAGTATATTAAGATTCCCTTCTATACTGTATATCCCTAGATCTTAATAATCTCTGTTTCTCATTACTGGATTATAGCTAAGCCAAGGAAGCCTTACAGCTTGGGTACAGCTTTATACTTTGCTTGTCTTGTTTGTCTTGTTGTTGGTTTTTGGTCGTTAAACGTTGAAACGGCTGATACAATCGAGCCAAAAAATTTCGACATTTATTTTTGTAGAAAATGCGCCAATGTAAACAGAAAAATCCACAAAAAAACAAGACTGAATAAAAATGGCAACTTTCAGAGCAATTGTTTAAAAAGCTAAAACTATTCATTAGATGGGGGGGGGGGGGCGAGAAGCACCATTAAAAGAAAAGTATAAAACATCTATATTTAGAAATATGAATATATATTTACAATATGTATATTGTATATTGATCAGTAAATTCTACATAAAAACTCTGTTGCATCCTGCAGGGGAACATTTTTCTCACTGACCGCAGACAAATCTCTAAGTTTATTTTTAAATTTAATCCAATTACAAGAAAATACTTTTCTCCAGGGAGATCTTTTCCGAGTTAGTTAGCAAATAAGAAATAAATAAAAGATTTCTTTAAAGGGACTGTAACCGTAATTTTAATTGACCCCAAGGTACTAATGCAAGGAAAGTTATTTCAGAGGTGTACGCCTTTTTGGTACTGCAGTGGAAAAGTAAACACAAAAATAATCTATGAAATATTCTGGTCATAGCTGGAACTATTATGTGAATTATCAAAAATAAATGCTTTAATCCTCCTCGGATACTAGACGAACACTATTCTTGTTTACAAATTCCGCCCAGAAAGAACTGGTTTCAATGTGTACGCAGAGTATACACAGCCGCAATTAACTTTCCTTGGATTAGTACCTTGATTGACCCAGTCCTTTGATGTCAGATTTACAACGGTTATTTTAAAAGCATTGCACGATCAGGAACTGATTGTTTTCGTAAATAGTTTCTTTACAATTGTAGCCTAGATTTTTTCAAATTTTTTATATAAATATAATAAAACAAGACATTCGTATATTTATGTTGTCTATAGCCGGCCAAACGGCTGGACCGATTGGGCTGATATTTTTTGTGGACTTTTTTCTAATTTTTTTTTCACGGGCAACGCCGGGCCCTTCAGCTAGTGCAAAATATGACACATGGATCAGATTTTTTTATTACGTTTGTAGTTATTTATTTTATTTTGTTTATTTTATTTTTCCGGGGGCTTTATAATGTTTTTTCTTGATCTAGCTTATTAAAAATACAATAAACAAAAATATATTATTTTTCATATTATTCCCACTCTTGGAAAAAAAAAGACGGGATTATACAAACTTTCTGTTTTGACATTTTTCCTAAAAATGGAATTTTCTAATGGAAACCACTCTGCTGGCTCTAGTTATAAACCCACTATTTCTACGATCAGTGTACCACAGATTACTGAAAAATGCATGCCACAAAAATTGGGTTAGGGGAATATGACAACATTTTTTTCTAAAAATGACATTCAAATAAAAAACGATCTAAGTTCTTGGTATGAAAACTCCGATTGACTATAGCTGTGACCCTCTTCATTATCAACCCACTATTTCTTTGATCAGTGTACAGCCTATAGATGTAAATAGCCCCAAAATCAAAATTGGGGTTATATGTAATTTTTTCCGTGCGTCTGTGCGCCTCCCAGTTTAATTCTCAAAAAAGAACGTTTCTGCATTTCAAATGCACAGGTTTGATTTTATTTAAAAAATATGATATTATTTAGCAAAATCATGCGTTTCTACACCAATACTAAGGGGTGTATATTGGACTTATTGGTGGCTTTATACAAATCTAAGAAGTTTGGTACTTGTTAAAGTTGATTTCTATTTAAGTTTACTTTAATACACTACAGTGATAACCAGAAAACTCTGGGATAGGAAGACGACTGTAAGGACTAAAGTTATGACTTTAATTAGTCCAATGAACATGAGACAAAAAAACTGTGCAGTGTAAACAGACCCATTTAACTTTATAATTTATTGAATAACTTACTAGTAAAGTCATTTGCTTTGTAAAAACATCTAATGCACTTCGGCATTGCTTCAATGTCGTCTTCCTTTTCCATTGTTTTCTGGTTATTACTGTACATGCAAAATATTGACTCTGGACAATATTTCAAATAAATTTTGCTTCATTCAGGTGGCTTTTCTCATAAAAAAATCAAATATTTTCATGAAAGCAAACAATTGTAGAAAATAAAATTTCGAACTTAACTTCGCAGATCTAATTTATTTGTAAAAGAATGAACGTTCCCTTTTAATTTACATATTACTACTGGGCTAGACTAATATCTGAGTAATTACTTCCCCCAACACTAAATGTAGATACATCTAATATCTATCTATGTATCTATCAATATATCTATCTATCTATCTCGGGATCTATCTATATGTCTATCTAGCTTAGCTACGTCCTTCCCGTACATTAAATAAAATGAGGCAAGTATTGTTTGTACAAATGTTTAGTTTTGTAAAGATGACCAGTAATCAGAGCCCAAAACTTGAAACAATGTATGAAAACCAATTTTGAAACTAGGGTTTCACGAATGGGGTTGGGCAGTTTTGTGGATATCAACATTTGTGTAATGAAATATTATTTTATTCAGTTTCTTCATATTCTCCATTTTTGCGAATCTCTTAAATCAAAATCTACACAAATGTTAAGATCCCAAAAATGAAACTCGGGAGTTTCGTTCAACGATACTCTTTTAAATTTCGGGCTCTGGGAATAGGAATACACACAAGAATGACGAGACTGCTCAGTTCAAAGTTATTTTCTACAGATTGACACCAAGTAGTAAAATGTATTCATTGACCTTTTAAATGACGAGTTCATGATGTAGAAAGGGTTGTACAATTTTCAGATTTACAGTTGCATAAGCAATCTATTCTAATGTATCAAGGCCCGGGCCCACGACCTTTGATCAAACCTTTAATTCT